GTGTAGTAATATATATATATATATATATATATATATATATATATATATACATATGAAGCTAATTCAGATATTTATAGTGTTTACGAAAGACCGAATGCTATCTGATCTTTTATTCTCTCGATTTAAAGATAGAACAAGCATCCGGATACTCGGACGCTCACTGTTTGCAAATCCGAAATTGCAGCCGAGAGCGCCGTTAATATAAAAGAGCGATAAGTTGTCTGCTGAAAAATTGCATTAAACACGTTCCTCTACACGAGACACGCTTAAGGGAGCAAATTACGTTATAAGTCACGAATCCGATTTCTTTCCCTCTTTTTGCGACTGACGGAGGGAGGGATCCCTCGTTCGTACGAAGTATTGTAAATTGAAGCAATAATAGTTACGATCTTTACACTGTAAGCACATTACACACCGAATAAAATTTAAGGATAACTACAAAGGACACATTTATACGAAGCATAAACAAATATACATACGAAAAATATAAATATAAATATATATATTTATTTATTAATTTATGATGTTAAGTTTGGAAAAGAAAAAAATGTTACGTTTTAAATACGAAAATATACTCAATGCAGTACGAATAAAGTGCGTACGTTTCCGTTATAGGAATCACCAGGAGCAGACTCGTACTTGCGATTCGCCATAGCGATTCCGTTTTTTGTTTACCGATGAAGATACGCATCCACTCGGTGCGTGCATCCCCCGACGTTCCCCTGTAAAACGACGACGGAAGTCGTTACGCGAATCCGCGATTACGATGCTGAGAACCTATTTATATATGTTCTTTCTTTCTTTTTTTTTTTTTCCTCTATTTGCGCACGCCTCCAAACGCATTGCGTCCACGAAATCTAACGGAATATGCAAAACTTCCTAATTGGATCCGCTTGTAAGGCAACTTCGTGAGTAGTAGTAGTAGTAGTAGTAGTAGTAGTAGTAGTAGTAGTAGTAGTAGTAGTTTGCAACACTCGGAGATTAAGTCTCGTTACTGAATCGCATTTTCCTACTACGGGTCGGGGAAGCTCGAACTTTCACAATGACAGAATTTAAAGAGAGAGATAGAGGAAAGAGGACGAAGAAGAGAGGGAGAGAAAGAGAGAGAGGGATTAAGGACGCTTTTTTTTGAAATCGTCAGCATTCGTTTGGTGAATCTTAAAGCGAATGGAAGATGATGAACTTTCAATTGAAGCGTTGAAAAAGTGTACCGAGATAATATTTTCCTAATCGCGACATGTTTGTAATGATCAATTTTTCAATGATAAACGAGCCGATCATTACCGTGTGTGTTATATTGATGAAGATTCATTATACGATCTGACGATGGACGATGGATCAATAATGGAACAGAATCAATTTTGTTTCTATCGAAATAACGTCGGGTGCATACATTTGCATACATTTTGATGAGGATCATTAATAACGAGCATTTAAAGGAACATTGTTTGTGTGAAATGAAAATTACCCCTTCTCGTACGCGTGAAGCTGGAAAGTCAATTTCCTTGAGATACGTAGCTACGTGGTCCTCTAACGAGATCGCGCAGAGAAATTCTCGTTTCCCGGGTCGTCGTTCGATATATGCGTATGGTTTCATAAAAAATGTATGGAAACCACCCGTTCTCTTCCCGTTCGAAATGTTCGCAGTTTCCCCAGATAGTCGGCAATCCCCGTCAATTCGCATCAACGTTCATTCGCGCCGAACGGCGCGACCGGAGGCGGCCGTTTAAAAAATGATGGTACTCAGCTGCATGGAGAAAAAAAAGGATGGGAGAGAAAGAGGATAAGAGAGAGAGAGAGAGAGAGAGAGAGAGAGAGAGAGAGAGAGGAGGAGGAGAGAGGATAAATTTCGAACCTTCGGTTTTTATTAGAATTTTTAAGGCAGATAATCAGTTTTTAAACATTCGCGAAAGCGCGCACGTTGAAATATAATCAACGGATTTTTGTCGTATTTCAGTAAACGTAATTATACTTATGAATATTTAAATATACTTTACCTCTCTCAGTTAGCGAAAAATGTTTTATTATTTTTATTCATGTAAAACCCCCTGTTGAATTTGAATATATAATTTAGATTTTATAAATAAGTGAAAATAATAATTTGCATATTCAATTATTAATAAGAATGTCTTATGCAAATATATTGAATTGACTTTTAAAATGATTAACGGAGATAATCAAATAGATCGAAATTCTAATTAAACTTATATATCGCATCTCTTTGCTTCTTTGTCTCACTTGGGCATTAAGGAGTAAGGGAGGAATTAAATCCGATCCAATTTACAACTTTGATTACCAACATTAGACGTTCATCTCCAACCATTTCTCCATCTCACCCCCTTCTCTCTCTCTCTCTCTCTCTCTCTCTCTCTCTCTGCCATTCAAAATCGCGCTATTAAGTTGAAAATCGTAAGCGAATATCCAAGATATTCGCTTACGATATCTATGCCGCTCGGGCTACAACTGATTGTGAGATCTTCTACATCGGCATTTCCATTTACGTTTGTTTCGTACAGAAATCCCAAGATCCGTTTACTTCGTCACGATTATAAACCACCGGTCCTCTGAGTAATCACCGCTGAGATAAAATCTCAACTCCTCCGAGCGAATCGAGAGATTAGACTCTGTTTCTGCGGGCGTGTACAATGATGAAGATATCGTCGGAAATATGAGACCTGTGAGAATCCCAAAGCGCCAGTAATTATATATCAGCCTATAATAATTATATATAAACTTTGTCAGCCTCTGACGTATAACCTATGAAAAACACGTGGCTCGTCAAGCGAGATGTTATTTTTAACATCTATCGCCCCCGTACGCTTTTAATGTTTAATCACATCCGGCGTTCGTCTATTCATCCACTTTTCATATATAGAGAATAATTTGAGAATTCGGGAAGACACGCCACCCTCCTCCCTCCTCCTGTCGCGGGCGCGGCCCGAAATATTCGAACCAAAAGTATTCTCGCGCGTTTGCCCACCCTCTCTCGCTTTCTCTTTCCCGCTCGGTTAGCCGAGATTCCTCGGTGGCACTTCGCTCGACTCGTTAGTCACGGTAGTTAGTCATGCTACGTGCATCTCGTCTTGAGAACGACTAAGACGAGAGAGGCGGAGAGAGTGGTTCTTCATTCCGTGAGGGGGTTGGCGGGACAGAAGCCACCCTGAAAGAGGGATAGAGGCTTCGCGCGCGCGAACGCGTCCTTCCTCGCTCTCTTCCTCCTCTTTCTTCTCTTCTCAACCGTGAGTGTTTCCCTTCCCTCGTACTCTCGTACTTCGAAACCGTACTTCGGAGACTTCGATGCGTTTGAGGCGTGCCGCTGCTGCACGGCGGCTATTTTTGTATGTACATACAAAACCCGCGTAACATGTCGGGACGTGTAGTCGATGTCAGAACGATAGTCGAAATATATATATATATATCTGCCTCTTTTTTCTTCTCTTCCGCTTCGTAGAAATATCTCGCTCTAGTTTATTCCCGTGTAAATTAAAGAAGAGTAACACACAGCTATTACGATATTAACAAGACACCCGTACGTTCTGGCCCGATAAATCACCGCGCGCAGTACGCATTCAACGTTGTAACGACCTTATTATTATCACCTCCCGTGATTTATATAGGTATAGGCCTGCGGAAAAGTTGCCTGCTAAGTAAAAAAATGTTCATACCGTTCTGACGCCGATAAATCATCGTCCCCTCATGTGCGCGAACGTCCATATGCGAGTGCCCGTTCTCTCTACTCGTTTCCCCCCCTCCCCCACGTGTGTGCGTGTATGGATTTATATACGTGCGTGCGCGTGTGCGTGTACTCACGGCACCGGTGTCATAATGGCAATGCGATCGTTTCCCGAAATATTCGCGGTCATTCGGATTCCCGGAAGCTCGGTGCTCATTCAGGACTGAAAATAAAGACGATTAAGCGAGTCATCAGGATAAAGATAAACCGACGGAGAATAGCTCGTACGAGGTCACTCCGTCGTTTCGCATTTGCGTTTATGAGACCGCGGCACGTGATACGTGTTGCTCGTATGTGTCGTTCTTATCCCCTGTCTTCGCTCTCGTTCGAACATCTCCCCCTGCCGTTCTCCGATTGCCTTGCGTTCTTTCAAGCTTGAAAAAGAGAGAGAGAGAGAGAGAGAGAGAGAGAGAGAACCAAAATACCGTATTTTCTTGTCGCGTGGATGCGTAATGCAATGACCTTTTCACCACTCTGCTTCGCACCCCTGTGTCTCCTTAACAAATCTGAACGATTTGCGTTCTCGGCAGAACGCTAATCGCTGGAAAGAAACAAGAAACCTCCTTTTGTATGTATTTTGTGCATTAAGAAACTGGAGCTTAAAATCATTTGATGACCAATGCGAGCGTGCGCACGCGCGCTCTTTTGCTCTTTTGTAAATATAATAATTTTTAATAAAAGCAAAAGCTTTTTTTTCTTTTGTCTCCGTACATTTCTTTCATACAAAGAGAGATTTATAGCATCATGATATATAATGAATTTATTCAATTGTACGTGAACATGTCATTTCGATTACAGCAGTGATTTATTGCCAGTCGAACGGTTCTTAATTAAAATAGACCTTTTATGAAATCCGTTTCATTTGCGTTTGAATTCTTTATTGCCATATAACGAGAAGGTCCATTTTGGAAGAAGATCTTGTTCAGAGAGGATTTTTCATGTTCTCCACCAAGTGTGAATTTGGAGAAGATGAATATTTTACACGGTCTCGATTACGAAAGACGCATCGAGAGACGCATGTAATTGTTAATGAACTTGTTAGACGCACGATAAATATTGGATTTTTACTGGGCGACATTGTACATTGCATGTTTCACCGCACTTTTTAGTAACGTAGTCATATTTAGACTCCCCTCCCCCTCCCCCTCAATTACGATCGACTCGTAGCTGTAGCTGACGAGAAAAGTTTCGATTCTCTCATATAACTCGTAACTGTAATCTAGACTAGATATTTTGAACTTCTACGTTTAATGCACTTGAAATTCTTCTCTGATCTTTCGAGATGAGCTACGGATTTATACTTACGAAAATGTACGCGCGTATACAGGGCGTTCCTAAATCTGTCGTTGTGCTCCACGCAGCGAGATCTTTTGAGACCAATTTAAATTTGATCTTTCCTCAACAAAAAAAAAAAAAAGAAAAACACCGGGAAGGCGTCAACAGCTAGCTTCTATATTATACCGCGAACGATTAAAAATTAAAGGTTTCTCCCTGAAACTGACTTTGAAGTCGCTACAGTACAGTAGTGTTCTAAAATCTCGCGCTCCAGTAAATTCCAAGTGAAGTGAATTTCACTTAAATGGAACTTTAATTAAAGACTGCGTTACGGCAAGTTATTTAATATTGAAACGTTGAAAAATTATGAGCGCAAATGATGTCTACCAGTTTTTGCAAAAGGAAATAAAGGTCCATTTTTCCATCGGGAAAAAATTGACTCGTGATATTAATCAAAGAATCTCGGTGGAGCACGAAAACAAAATTGGGAACAATTTCCCTATTATGTATGCAACATATACAAATGTATACATATATACATATATGCATGCACTCGTGTACTCTCAGATATATTCACGTCACGAACGATTCTTGCGTGAACACAAAATACTTAAAGTAATATTTTAAGTAATTACGTATACAAAATTTCATACATTGCTAAGAAAAATGTTTAAAACGTTTAATAAAATTATATTCAGTAAAAAGAACGTGCCAATTGTCTATCGATACACACGCAACAAGAGCTTACATAATCTTAGTTTGTGATATTATTATATTGATGCAATATCGCTTGTCTTTTATCATTTAGATATTTTCATACAATCACCTTTTCCTTTTTATAGTTTATAATTTTCTCGCACAATCCTTATAGTATGTGTTATCCAAGATACATGTGACTGCTTTCTTTTGCTTTCTTTTTCAACTTTGTGATTCTTGAAGATAAGCGACTATTGCATCTATATACTAGATGCCTACGAACAAAAAAGGGTGAGTTATTTTTTTATAATAAATAAAATAATATAATAAATAAAGAGGAGCGAGGATTTCCGAGTCTTATCCTACATTTTTATTTCTGTCAAGATATATTACTTTTTGCCTGTCTGAAACACAAAAATCAACAACATTAACCTAAGGATAAAAAGAAAAAAAAATTTATCTTTACTAGATAAATAAAGATCAATCTGTATGATTATTTCGTACGGTACAAATAGATTTATTTTAGGAATATATAAAATCCTATTTAAAAATATCACGCTCCGCGGACCATAAATTTCAACGACCCTAGTCCCGTAGGAATGCAAAAGCAGTCTCTGAACTCTAAAGTATAAGAGTTTAGTTCTGTCTTGATTTAAATATCGGATGGTTTTTAATAACCCATCAAAAAGCATATAAATGTTCTTTACATGTAAAATGCAACGTTTTCCCAATAATATTTTAAAATATTCCATTTTATAAAATGAAATCGTTATACACTGTTTATTATTATACTTTGTGCATTTGAAAGTTAAATTTTAAAATTGTAAAATGATTTTTATTTAAAAATTAATTTATATAGTAATTAATTTGTTTTATAGTATATATAAACAAAAAATTTCTCAATATTCTTTTAGATCTATATACATTGTCAATAATAATATATTATACATATTGATCAAATGAGATCAAATTATTTATAAATTGAAAAATTTATATTTATCTAAATTACATAAACTTTATTAATTAAAAATTTTTTGTCTATCCTAAAATATTTCAATTTTTTTGAAAAATCGACATTTTATCTCTTTCTTTTTTGTTCAATAGGTATAAAATAATTAAAAAAATACAATAGAATTTAAAAAAATGCAATTTTATTACAGAAAAATTATTGAAATATAACTTCTTGAGCCAATTAATATCAAAGTACATAATACATCACGATGGTGCATCATGATTTTCTCCAAAGTTTATACAGATATTTTTCACATGATTTATTTATTTCTATTTTGTGTAAAAACTATACACACATTAATATTATACATACTACTTCCATAAAAGTTTTGTGATTTGACAAATATTCAGACAACTTTTATCTATTTATTCACATTGTTGTCTCGTGATAAAAATGTCACAGATAAAGTTCAAAATCTACTCTAGCAGCATTATAAAATTGATTCTGCTGTCCGGTTCTTCTGACCCAAGCGCCTTTTTTGAAATAACCTTCTTTTGCCCATGCATGCATTTGCTGACTAGTATGAGGTCCGTGTATCTCTGCATTTTCATCCTGCGACCATTTTAAATCCCATGTTACATCTTCCTCTAGAGGCGTACTTTTTTCTGCCTCGCTTGTTTCTGCTACTTTTCCTGTATAATATATATAAACATATTATATTTACATAGTCACGATATTGTATAATATAAAAATTTTTGAGAGAAAGAAAAGTACAATAATGTGAAAATTTTTAATATAAACGTTTTTAATGTTGTATTACATACCACCATCAATATCATCCAGTTTTGCCTTCTCCTTTTCATCAAAATCATCAGCATACATATCCAATTCTGCCTCTTGTTTTGAAGGATGTGCATGTTTATCGCCTTGTTCAATCTACAAAATATAATTTTTTACGATAAAGATTATATATATATATATATATATATATATATATATATATATATATATATATTA